AGCGGGTCGGGTGCTATTCTGCTCCACTCATTTCCAGCAGGAGCCACCTGGCTGAAGCTTCGCCTTCTACCCACCCAAAGCAGTGCAGGAGGAAGAGCCACTACTGGAGGTGTGAGGAGCACAGTAGCACCCAGCCGGCTGCCGCTGGACAGGGAACAGCCCTGCTGGAAGCTGCATGCACTGGCCAGGGCCCAGGCCAGTGGGGCTGTTCTGCTTCCCTCATCTCCAGCAGCAGCTCCTCCTCCTGCAGTCACAGCTGCAGGTGAGGGGAGCAGAAGAGCCCTGTGGGTCCAGGCCTTGACCAGTGTGCACAGCTTCGAGCAGGGCTGTTCCTGGTGTAGCTGCAGCCAGTTGGGTGCTGCTCCATGCCCCATGCTTTCAGCAGCAGCTCCTGCCCTTCTGCGCTGCTCCAGACAGGCAGGCAGGCAGGAGGGAAAGCTTCAGCTGAGTGTCTCCTGCTGGAGGCAAGGGAGGCAGAGCAACACCTGGCTAGCTACAGCCACATGGGAACAGCCCTGCCAGAAACTGCACATGCTAGTCGGGGCCTGGGCCAGCAGGCATGGGCAGGAGCACAGTGCACGCTGCCCTGGCAGGAGCAGGTTGGGCTCAGCCTTATGCAATGTGTTGCAGGGCCACCACAGGCCGGATCCAGTCACTTGGGCCAGATCCAGCCCACAGGCCATATTTTGCCTATCCCTGGTCTGGGGTTTAGGACAGTTGACTTAGAAGAAGGACATGCTGAGTTCTTGCCCTGGCCTCTATAGTTTTCATTGGTTAAAACCAATCAATGGAAATTCAGCCTAAAGTTATCTTTAATAAGTTCTGCTTTTAACTGAATGAGTGGAATAACTTTCATAATGTTAGTGTGGAGCTGCATATATAAACATAGAAGCTAAGTCTCTAAGCAATAGGCCTTTACATTTAAATTCCTGAGCCCATATTTAAATACAAGAAGTAATTGTACACTTCCACTCTGTTCATTAGAAACTCCTAGATGTTAGGTTATTTGGAAAAGAGAATGCTTATTTAGATTACTAAAATAAAGGTAGATATGAAACTAGAAGGCTAACTTTAGGTCTCTGTTTTTTTAAGATGTTAGTCATAGAGATTCTAAGCTATTTTAATCAGAGACCCGGCTGTTTTATCTTGTTCTACTTCAAATTTAATCTCCATAGGAACAAAAAGATCAATTTTGTGTCATCTCTGTACTTGTACTGAAAACCTTTTAATGATGTGGAAAGGTCGTATCTAAAAAGTTTTAAGCATATGTGCAAAACATTTATTGTCAAGTTCTAAATTTTAAAGATATTCACTGGAATTACTTTTTTTATTCTCACCAGCGTGTTTGAACCATCTTATCTTCCTCCCAGAGAACATTTGAGTAATTAACAAACATACCGTGTGCTCAGTAGGTTTCAAAACAGCAGCATGAATTAGATTTTTTTCCTTTTATATGCTCTGCTACTTTTTATAGCAGTGTTTGCAGTGTTTCTAGCTTCTCATTTACAGCTTCAGGAGAGTAGTTAAACTATCCGTATGTTCTGTTTTATCTTCTAATTGAAGTGTTTTTGTTTCTCTACTGTAGCTTAGTCATCCAGTGGAGGTTTGTAAACAGAGTTCAGAAACAAATGAATGCATTTTTGGAGGTAAGTTTCATTAGCTGCTGTTATCTTCCAAATAATATTTTTAGTTCATAGATATTGATTTTGATTGGACCAGGTTCTTCTTTGTGTGGAATTTTTCAACCATCAAACTTAGGATTGAGAGATTTGGCATGATCACAAAAGTACTTAATGCTTAGAAAAGTTAGTGAAATCATGGAAACATTTTTAGAGTTTTTTTGTTCTCCAGCATTACACCCCCTTCTTTGAAATTAAGTAATCCCAGACTTCTAAATGATAGATTTCTAATGCTGCCCCTTCTCCTGTGGGACCCTCAACTATTCTCTGTTCTCAGTGCCCTTCTCTCCTTCCGCTGCGAGCCATAAATGCTTGTGTGCCCCACTGCTTTCCTTGCAATCATGGATCCTGGAACACAGCAATCCACAGATCCTAGATTTTGATACTCCCTTGAGTATTTCAAATTTCATTGCAGCTCCATCTGCTGCCACACATTTTTTTTTCAGGCTCTGGCTTCTTTGATATTGCAATAGTCACTAATTAACAGAACACCAAATTGATTTCAACTGGTTCCTGCTCCTGCCCAATAATTTACTCATCAGAATAATTTCCTGGTTTGTCTTTTATGCAATCCACATAGTAGTTAAAGCTGTTGGGAGAAGACAAAAATTCTATTCCCCCATACATCTGTTGGTTTAAAAATCCTCTGGTATGGGAATGTACGTTAATCTTGAGGAAGATTACTCAGAAATTAAACATTATCAGCCAAATAAACATTAGGTAATGTTACATCTATCTCTAAGAAAATACTGAGTTTTGTTTTTTCTTTCTTTCAGGGATTCACAGAACTCCTACCTACTGATTTGATTAAAATTTTTGATGAAAATGAGCTGGAGGTTAGTATTTGCAAATGACTTTTGGAGACAGAAGATCAGCACTTCTCATTATTCTTAGATATTCTCCATTCTGGACTGAACAGTTTAAAAAGGGTGGACAAAATACGGCCTGTGGGCTGGAACTGGCCGACCAATTGATTGCATGTGGCCCACAGCGCTGTGCATGGGGCTGTGCTCCCACCTAAGTCAGTCTGTGCCGCACACCCACCCCACACCCACTGATGGCCCCAGCCAGTGCTCACAGCTTCCCAGCAGGGCTGCTCCCACTACTGCAGCAGCTGCCCAGATGATGGTTGGCTCGCCCCATCTCCAGCAGCTTCTCCTCCTCTTGCTCCTGCTGTACCACTCCAGGCAGAAAGTAGCACAAGGAAGCAGTAGTGGCTGTGGGGATGTGTGCTGGGCACCATGTGCCCAGCTGGGCACTGGGGAAGCTGCAGCTGGGCAGCTCCTGCCCCAGCACATGGGGCTCCAGCTTCCGGCTGCCTTCCACTCACTTGGCTGGCTGGAGCTTTCTACTCATTGCACTGGGTGGATGGAAGGCAGTGTGGGCTGCCCCAGGAAGGAGCAGGTGGGGCTCAGCCATATGCAAAATGCCACAGGGGCATCCATGGGTGGCAGGGTGGGGACAGACATCACCTGTACTGCACTGTCCACGTGACATCTGCACACACCCCTTGCCCTCCATCGACCCCCCCCCC